TACATCCCAAAACGCCTAATACGGCATATTTAAAGGAATATTTCATCCCCCAGAAGAAACAAATTATTGAAGGAGCCTTGCGTGCAGAGATATAGATGACCTTCCGACTTCAATGAGACACACTACTAAAACGGAAATGGCTGCTGAAAGAAGGGAGGAGACTCAAACTTTCTGAGTTTTCTAGGTACATTACATTCCTGATATGTAATTCCTGATATCCCACTCGATTTTTTGTTTTTTGACCTGCGGGCTCGTCAAAATACGGCACAACTCATAAAAATTCTCAGCGATACTATACACCAAAACGTGTATTAAGATATATTTCTCCCAGAGACCTGTGTAATGATCGCTCGGCACAACGCAGAACAGGAATCAGCTATTTTATCAATCCCCTAATTTTTTCACTTAACAAACCAAAGACGTGTAATAGAGAAAAAAAAAACAAAGCTGAACTTATGAGTTAAAGGGAAGTTTCAATTTAACTCGAATCACTTCCATGAGAAAAATTGGACATTTTGTCAAATTCGTATTTACAGATTTACCTAGCTTTGTGTGCGGAGAAATTAACTTCTAACTTTCCATGGTTGAATTAGATGTTATGTCCTATCCGATAAGTAAGAAATAAACAGTTGAAGAAAGATTGTTTGACTTTTCAACTTTTAGATGAAAGAGAAAAACACGAAGACATTAGGGGAATGTCATCAATGTTTCAGAGGTATTTTCATTTAGACTCCTGGACGCCCCTGGATAATTAAAAATCACTTACCAAATAAATATGTGGAGAGGTCAGATTCCGAGGCACCTACAGTTAAAGCGTGTAGAAAATTTGGCGGAACCAGAGTTTTTAATAAATGATTAACATGGGATTCATTGTAACATTCTCTGCGCAAAGTTCTTAAGATATGTAAGCATTTTACGATGGCCCATAGAGGACACGCCATATTTTTTTTATCGCGTGATAAAATCAAAATATCGCGCGATAAATGGGACACTTGCCAGGTCTCACATCATCGACTGTCACGCACGTTGTTTCCGTGGACTACAATTGCTGCCACAGTTGAGGAGGTATGTTTTGAGGTCAATAGTTCGTTTTATTTTCGTGAAAAGATTATCGAGCAATACTTTGCAATACTTCTACGACACATAGCTCTGTGAATCAGTACAGTAAACCTTCATTTTGCGAAATCTTAAGAGACACTTCTTCACAAGGCAACTCTTATAAGTGAACCAGTTTGGTCAGTCGTTTTGCCTTCATAAACAGCTTTATCATTATGAGCTACTAGCATGTATCTAAGGCGATTCCTTGTTGCTATTCTACTTTTCCTCACGAAATCTAAATACTAAGACGTTAATGTCGTTGATACCTTGATGTTAACTTTAGAAACGACTTCGTGTAATGTTGATTGGGATATATTTTATTGGTAAAGAGTGCTCTACTTACGCGCCAATTTGCTAGCTCAAGCGTGTTAAGTATTATCTTCCCTTCCGAGTAGCCGGACACACAAAATCCCGCGTCGAGAGTTGAATTTCTGACCAATTTTCTGATCATTGTTGCTATTGTTTTTTTTATTTTGTTTTTGTTTTTGTTGTTTTGTTTTTGGTTCTTGTGTGAACTGTATCACCTCAATTGGCTCAGAACAACTCTATTTAATTCCCTTATCTATCTTTTCTTAGGGAAAAAATGAGCGCTCTTTGCGATCAAAAGCATATCACACATATGATCATGATCACTAAGAATGTTGGAACGTGGTGGCGTAAACCGTCTGCAAGGGGAACAAGCAATCATGGCGTAGTTTTAAGTTTTTGTTTTTTTTGTTTTTTTTTTTTTTTGGAACCTGTTGTGCTTGCTATTTATCTATCGCTGTAAGATCATAACTCTTTTTATCGTCAAGAAATTATGTGACCCTCCACGGGATTTCCGGGAATAAGGTGAACATGCACATGGTACGCTCGCACGCTAAGACAAAATGACTAGCTTTTACCACATGAGCTTCGTCTTGGTTACTTGCTTCGTTAATTTTGCAGCCATTGTCTTGCTTCGCACGGTAGAAGCAAAGGAACGTGTTAAGATCTTGCTCGCAACTTTGCTCGATACAACACAGTGACCGTGCCAATTTTATAAGGCGCCCCTTAAAGTTAAAGTTGCTTTCGATTTGTACATGGAGCCGGAAAGCTTGGCTTATAAACTGCGTAAAGCGATAAGGATTTATAGTTTACAAGGTAAGAATTAAGTTTTAAAAGAGTAATTCATGTGTTCAAACTGAGCTCCTCTGGGTCTTGTGAAACACGTCGTGCTCACTGAATTCCTTGTGAAAATCATGAGGGAAAGAGCCGTGATTTGCCGTGAATGTTTCTTTTTATTACAACTATCGGATAGGACAGAAGATCTTTATTTCCGCTTATATTCTGTAAGTAATATACTTCACAAACACCATTCTCACAATTAAGATGATGGCAAATACAAGTAACAAAGTGAGCTAGGGTGTACAAGATAAGCTGGCCTGTTAAGGAAAAAAGGAACCTAGCGTGTTAAAAAAAAAACAAAACAAAACAAAAAAACCTAAAGTGTTATAGAAGCAAAGCTCTACCGTGTTAGCCAGATATGAAGAATGACTACGAACACGCTATCCAAAATCAATTATTTTTATGCGTATATATTCACGGTAAGAGTGTGATGCCATTAGCGTGCGAGCGTGTTATAACGTGCCGTGTGCGTGCGTTCACCTTATTCCCTGAAACCCTGTGGAGGGTCACAAATAAACTCTAATAATCTATTGTTATCGTATATCAATAACTGCCAACTGTTTTAGTCTTTCGTTTAGCTGTTGCACAGCGGCGTTGTTTTTGTTGGTGAAAAGGCGCGATTCCTTAGCAGCCATTCGTTCTTACTGAAGTGAATAAGATAAAAGTTTGTTAGACTTTTTGATGCCATTAACTGCCTTATCCTTTAGCGTTGTAGTTTTAAGAGAATGAACGACACTTTTTAAAAGCATGTTTCGATAGTTCTTCTGTCATCTTCACTTCTGAATAATACAAAGCACAAAGTTGAATTTAAAGTGTGTAGCAAAATGCTGATTGGACAAAACTAACAATAATAACAGAAAAATGTATGCATTTACGAGGAAAGTTTTAAATTAACGTAATAAAGTAGATGATTAGGTGTAGGTTTCTCCTATTGAATGTAGATGGCTTCTTTGATTTTAAGTTGAAAAGTTGTGGAAGCGTGATCTAAGATGTTAAAACACTCATCAGAACAAAGAGTGCGACATTGTGCGACCTATGAACGGGCTGTAATGCTTGCTATGTCGGCGAAACCTCTCGGCATTTATCCACGCGCGTACGTGAGCACTTGGTCAGTGATAGGACCTCTCTCATTTTAAGACATCTATTTAATTATCCACAATGTCGCACTCTTTGTTCTGATGAGTGTTTTAACATCTTAGATCACGCTTAGACCTTCGTTTGCTGACTTCGTAGAACAACTAGAAGACTTTTTAAGAGAAGTAAAGGTGGGTAATATTGATACTAAATATTAAATTCCCGATCCCTTCCTTCTCCCCTCAAATCCTTTTGATTTTAATGCTTCATCAAAAAAGATTCGATCAGATTAAATTAGATTACATAGAGAAATGTCTAACCCCTCCAATATTCCAATCAACGACTTGCAATAATTTAGAGAAATCAAATCAGTCGAAACACTCCTCGATGTTTTAATTAATGGTGAAGTAAATTAATTGTATATCAAGATTGCCTTCAAAGGTGAGATGAAGCAATTGGAAGTATCAATAAGGTAAAGTAATTTTGTAAAAAAGGGAAATTTCAAGTCATGAGAACAGTACCCCTTAAATATCAAACAAGGTCAGATTATATTGAGCTCAAATACTATTTAATTGATTGCCTGCTTATTGCAGTTGCACGTGAGTTATCTAGTTCATCTTTTTTTCTCAAATACTGGCTTGTTTATTGTCTATTATCATTATCCTTATCACACGCTTCTCTCATAATTGAGAATCATTCCTAAATTCAACCTGTCATTTCTTCAATTCTTTTCTTTGATTATCAATTTCAGAGGACATATATTAACATCAAAGGCAATTAACTCACTGGCTGATTTGGACTGAAGTAGAAGCAGGAAGTACTAGTGTTCAAGGCCCGTGCCATGTATTTCGTCAATTCCGAAGGTAAATGCTTCTTTTTGTCTAAGGCTATCTTCGACTACTAGTAGGTTATCAGATGGTTATCAGTTGTTATCTTAATGTTGATGATTGCGGTAAAACTTCCAGGGCGAGCTGTTTCAAAATCGGACTAAAGCTTAGCAATGTTTTAGTTTTAGCTTGCTAAAGCGACTTTTAAGAAATTTTAGAATTAATAAAGGTAATAAGAAACCTGCATATGATCTCATCTTCCTAACACCGGGTGCCCGTACACCTCTTGTCGACATTGTGAAATCTGGGAAAAAACCTTTTTGATTTAGATATCAGAGTGGTGCTCAATGAAAGAAAAAGCAGACTATTCAACAGATTTAGCTCACGATGCTATTGACGCGTTACAAGAACTTTTCCAGTACAATAATACAGACAGTGTAATCTTTTCATCCCTTCCCGGAGAACCAAATCCGCCTCTCGGTAACTTTCTCGGATAATTCAACGATACCTGTTAGAACAAAATGCAGACTGCAGACTGCAGACCGGATACAAAATGTAAACTAAGTATAAAATTTAGACTGCACATTGCAGAGTGGGTACAAAACGTAGACTGAGAATCTTAACGCTTAAGAGTTTTTTCGTCTGGTATATGATAACATTGACGACTTTCATAATGGCCGAAGGCGCGCAGAACTGGTAACGATTTTGCATGGAAACGAGGCCACAAAGGCCTCTCAGACGTAAACATAGCGCGCGTGTAGTGGTTTTAGGTCAAGTTTTTGCTTCTGTGTGAAGACAATAATACTCAATTGGGGTCAATCACCGCTTAGAATATACATTTAGGAACAGGAAGGAATGCCTACACACTGCTGCGTTCCAGGATGCACCAAAGAAGGCTATCGCAAAGAGCATGGGTCGAAAGTGTCGTACTTTCAATTTCCTAGAGAAAAAATAGTAAAGAAGAAATGGATACAGGCCATCAGGCGAGACGAAGGAAAAGACTTTAAAATATCCGACTCAACAAAGGTCAATTCCAGACATTTTAGAAATGAAGATCTAAAAAAGACTCTTGCGGGGAAAATATGTCTAAAACCTGGCGCCATACCTTCGATATTTTCCTGGATTCGCACGTCGCCTCGCAAGAGGAAACCACCGACAGAAAGGAACGTTTGCGAGCCAGTGGCGTCGATTGCCACTGTTTCTAGATCGAATGCATCTGCCGAGAGTGTGGTGGATTTTGATTTGGAAGAAAAAGTGGAAGTAAGTATCGGTTTGACTACCAGTGTTGTTGAGAATCAGAATATAATCTTGCCAGAAAAGGAATGTTATGATTTGACGGAAACCATCACAAACAAAAACAAAAGAATTGAAGAATTAGAACAAGAAATCAATGACATTAAATTGCGATTAGAAAATGCTCAGCGGCAAATCACAAACCTTACAAAGAAATAATTTGTGCTCGAGAACTTGAAAGCTAAGAAAAATACAGCAGCTTTTTACACTGGTTTTAATAACTGGGATGCTTTTGAGGCGGTGTATAATTATCTTGATCCCGGAGAACGAGGAGGAAACATTGCTTACTGGCGTTCTGGAAATGGTGAGGTCCCTGTTGATTATGACCAGGATCAGTCAGAGGACTCTTTCACGAAAAAAGGAAGAGCTAGGTCTTTGAGGCCAATGGACGAATTATTTTCTTGTAATGTGCAGACTAAGACAAGGGTTTCATGAAGATCATCTTGCTCACTTGTTCAACGTGTCAACACCGACTGTAAGTCGGATAGTCATAATATGGATCAATTTCATGTACTTTAAGTTTGGTCACATTAACATTTGGCCTTCAAGGGAAGTGATAGACGGAACAATGCCTGAAGCATTCAAGAATAAATATGGGAGTACGCGTGTGATAATTGATTGTACGGAAGTAAGATGCCAGATGCCAAGTAGCTTACAATTGAATGAAGCGCTCTTCAGCAGCTACAAACATCACACCACACTTAAGGGTTTGGTGGGGATTTCTCCTGGAGGAGCAATTACATTCATCAGCCAATTATATACTGGAAGCATCTCTGACAGAGAGATTGTTAGAAGAAGTGGCCTTTTAGATCTACCCTTCAAGGACAAAGACTCCATAATGGCAGATAAAGGTTTCACTATTTCAGATTTGTTGCCTTTGGGAGTTTCACTCAACCTTCCACCTTTCTTGGGAGGATCAAATCAAATGCCAGCAGAAGATGTGGTACAGACCCAAGAAATTGCTAGTCTCAGAATTCATATTGAACGGGCAATCAACAAGATAAAAAACTTTCACATCTGGGACAGAGTAGTACCCCTTCACCTAATAGGTGTTGTAAACCAAATGTGGGCAGTGTGTGCCTTCTTGTGTAATGCACAACCCAACATAATATCAGTGTGATGAAATGGTACACTAAAATTGGTAATTATTTTGTGTATATAAAGGTGATAGAAATTACAACAAAATAAACTCCAAATCAATCACTTTTTTGAAGAAAATTTGCATTGCATTTGTTTTTTTCAAGGAAAAATACCTATTGCTTGGTATGCCTCTGTAGTAACATTTTTTAACAGAAAAAACTTCCTTTATAGTTAAGTAAAAGACAAAGGGAAACAAAACATTGCTACACTACTTTTAATGACCTCTGAATTCCTTATACTCTGTTGGTTGGTAGATAAAGATCATGTTTCAGAATATTATCCATACCTATCGCGTGGAAGGTCACTGGAAATTCCAAGGGAGCTGGAAGAGTCTCGAAAACTTAAACTTTAAACGGAGAGTACAATATTATCAACTGA